TTTGCAAAAACAAGATTTAGTGTTTAACCTAAAAAATCAGCTCGACCTATAGAATGTCTTCACTACGTTCATTGAAACTCAAAAAACAAACATAGCCAACAGAAAAATGACAAGAAAACAGGAAAAAAAACGCCCTTAAAACTCTGAAGTTTGAGAAAACTTTGATTGGCACTTCTTTTGATAAAAATAACCTAATTTGAGAAAGATGGATCCATAGCTAAAAATTTTATTCCGCTGAAAAATCTGAAGAACAAACTTCACCTTCGAAACTAAAAGTCGATCACATTTTTCGTGACCTTTACACTTTTGCCGTTCGATAGTGGAGTTGTCCTTCTTTTTAAGGAAAGAAATGAAAAGAATTTAGAAGAAATCAAAAATCAAACCGTTAAACAATGAAATTTAAGCTTGAACAATTTTTTAAGACTTTTCCTGAAAAAAAAAATCACCAGACCTATATAAGTTTCTTCACTACGAGCAATATTGATTCTTGGTCTTAGCATCCTGATTTTCAATAACCATTTTCTGGTTCTCTCATTCACGGAAAATCCGAAAAAGACGTTCGGTATCAGGTAATACGTTTTAGCGTCATAAGAAAGTATGGCCTAGGGTGGGGTTTTTACACCGCGATTTCACGTACCTATTTCTGAGCAATCTCTGGTGCAAAAGCTTCTGTTATCATATGAAAGCTTGATATTAATTGCTAAAATATAAATCAAAGATTCACGCAATAGATTGCTTAGAGAGAGGTACGTGAAATCGCGGTGTAAAAACCCCACCCTAGGCCATAGTCCCTTATGACGGCAACACATATCACCTGATACCGAACATCTTTTCGAATTTTGCCTGAACAATAAAACAAGAAAAGGGTTGTAGAAAATCAGGATGCTAAGACCAAAAAACAGATGTCAGTTAGATAATACTTTTTAAAAATACTTAACAAACGAAAACATCACATTTTTCCGTTGGATGTCAAAAAATTTTGACCACGAGTCTTGAGTTTGCAAAAAGAACTTTATCAAAGAAAAAACAGTCGCGCCTATTCCTGGGCAAATAGCACAGAATCTTCAGACAACAGTAACCGAAAGAAAACAACACTTGCGATACAACAAAAATACAACATGACAAACTAGCTGATAGAAAACGAAACAGAAAACAGTAGTCGAAAAAACTAGCATTGAAACAAAAATAATGAAGCAGAAAAAAAAGCGGCCCATTTTTGAGCAGACACTCGTTGCGCAAAAAAAAATTGTTTTCAAAAAAATTTCAACAAAATTTTCAAGAACCCCTCAGAAGATTCTCACCAATAAAAAAATGTTTCACTGATCAAACGACGCAATATGAGGCCACTAAGCTGATATGATATAAACCGAAAATTTAGAGCTGAAAAAAATCTATCAAAAATTCAGGTATTTGAAATGCAGTCATGAACAAAAAGTGTTTGATGGCGAAAATACGGATTTGAGAAAAAGATTCAATATAGTTGGGGCTGGGGTATGTGTTGAGCTTCAAGATACGCTTTTCCCTACCGCAGTAAGTATTAGCAACGTAAAAAATATAGCCAACTGACAGTTGAAAAAGACTAATGAACGCAAGGAAACTGAAAAAAACTGACTTGTTTTTTCAAAAACCTTATAAATTTTGAAGAAAAAAAATGATGGCCTTAAAACTCTTTCAGTTTGTAGAACAATTTATGATGGACACTTTTTGGTAAAATTAAACCAAGTTGAGAAAACTGGATCAATAGGCAAAACTTTTTCGTGAAGTTTACATTTTAGCTGTTCGATAGTTGAGTTTGCGTTGCTTTTAACAATGAAAATGCTATGAACTTGAAAAAATTTCAAGTCAAACCACGAAAAATCAAAATTGAGCGTGAACAAAGTTTAAGACTTTCCTGAAAAAAAAACAAAAGAAGTCACAAGACCTATACAACAGTACTCACCACGTTAATTACTCTTAAAAAAATTGAAAACTATAGAGATTTAATTTTATAACGCGTTATCTAGTCACTAGCCTGCTGAAAATGTGTCCGAAAACCGAGAAAAAAAACGGACCATGTTTTGTAAACACCGAATTTTTTTTTTAGAATTTGTTATTTTTACACGATTAATAGGGCTTTAATACGATACTTCAATTAAACCCCTAGATGATTTCTTCGCCGATTTTGGAACCTGTTCACGGCTAATAGGGCTTTTATATGATACCCACTTACTCCTTACGAGGTTTCTTTGCGGAATCCAAAAATCGTCTGAAAAAGAAATGCACCTACGCCTTAAATCCTTCCCTCCCTAAGAGGCTCGTCAAACAATTGAATTATCCGTACAAAATCATTGCTACCCTGACACTTCCTTGAGGATATACGCATCTCCGAAGAGGACTGAGTCGATCGAATATAACTAAAGATTATCAATTTACCGTCTGAAATTTTTTTTCGTTTAAACCTCACCGACACCTAATTGCGATATCCCAGAAAAAATAATACAGAGCAATTGAGCCAATGAAAAGCTTAAATGAAATCAAAATTAATTTGTAATCTATATGTAATTTATGAATCCTAGATTAAAATATGTAGATTTTGAAATTTGCAGTTTTACGCTCCATTCCTTGAAACATAATCTACTTTTGGAGTTTTAACGACCCAAAATGAAGTAACTAAGTCGATCACATACGCCGGAACCATGAAAGATAATTATACAAAACTATGCATTAGACAGTAAGCAGACAAAAATATGAGGAAAATCGATAGTACGACTATTCAAATAAATTAACTTCCACGTATCGCGAAAAAACAAGGTGCGGCTGGGACTCGAACCCTAGTAATTATGTTATGAAGCTGCGACTTTTACCGTTGATGTTGATGTTCCAAAATAAAGCAAGGTTAATTACTAAAAACTATCCCGTCGAGGATCGAAACCGCGACCATATGTTACGAAGCCGCGTGCTTTACCTTTGACCTAAATGGAAGGCCCGTTATGACGAAGTTGTACAATAAACCACTGTATCATACACAGACAAATGGTGGAAAAGAAAACAGGGTCCGGCCAGAACTCAAACCCAAAACATTTAAGAAAAAATATTTGTGGGGAACAAGTCTAGTTCCCGATTACAAGTCACGGCTCTTTTTCCTTTTACCCACCTGATATAAGCATGTAGTTACGAGGGTTTTTGGTGTTAAGAGAGTTTTACAAAGTTAAGTATGGAGACCAAATAAGTTCGCCGATTTTGGAACCTGTTCACAGCTAATAGGGCTTTTATATGATACCCACTTACTCCTTACGAGGTTTCTTTGCGGTATCCAAAAATCGTCTGAAAAAGAAATGCACCTACGCCTTAAATCCTTCCCTCCCTAAGAGGCTCGTCAAACAATTGAATTATCCGCACAAAATCATTGCTACCCTGACACTTCCTTGAGGATATACGCATCTCCGAAGAGGACTGAGTCGATCGAATATAACTAAAGATTATCATTTTACCGTCTGAAATTTTTTTCGTTTAAACCTATGAAGATTTTAAGACCTCACCGACACCTAATTGCGATATCCCAGAAAAAGTAATACAGAGCAATTGAGCCAATGAAAAGCTTAAGTGAAATCAAAATTAATTTGTAATCTATATGTAATTTATGAACCCTAGATTAAAATATGTAGATTTTGAAATTTGCAGTTTTACGCTCCATTCCTTGAAACATAATCTACTTTTGGAGTTTTAACGACCCAAAATGAAGTAACTAAGTCGATCACATACGCCGGAACCATGAAAGATAATTATACAAAACTATGCATTAGACGGTAAGCAGACAAAAATATGAGGAAAATCGATAGTACGACGATTCAACTAAATTAACTTCCACGTATCGCGAAAAAACAAGGTGCGGCTGGGACTCGAACCCTAGTAATTATGTTATGAAGCTGCGACCTTTACCGTTGATGTTGATGTTCCAAAATAAAGCAAGGTTAATTACTAAAAACTATCCCGTCGAGGATCGAAACCGCGACCATATGTTACGAAGCCGCGTGCTTTACCTTTGACCTAAATGGAAGGCCCGTTATGACGAAGTTGTACAATAAACCACTGTATCATACGCAGACAAATGGTGGAAAAGAAAACAGGGTCCGGCCAGAACTCAAACCCAAAACATTTAAGAAAAAATATTTATGGGGAACAAGTCTAGTTCCCGATTACAAGTCACGGCTCTTTTTCCTTTTACCCACCTGATATAAGCATGTAGTTACGAGGGTTTTTGGTGTTAAGAGGGTTTTACAAAGTTAAGTATGGAGACCAAATAAGTTTGTGATCGCCGAAGTTCACGTGCCACTTTTGATAATAATCGGACAGTAGCATGCCGAGGGGGGTGGGGGCGAATTTTTTAATTTACCAAAAAATGCCCAAAAACGCCGTTTTTTGGCCTGTGTTTTCAAAAACTTGCCTGAACCTGGAGCAAATTTTTTTGGCAAAATAGGGTCCTTATAGTATTTTCGGAGAGATCGGAAAAGCAAGTTCGTCGAACTAAAATAGGTCGACAAAATTTTCAGATCGAAAAAATTTCTGGCCCAGAAAAACTTCTGCGCACGCCACTGCAATCGGACTATGACCACAAAAATTACTTGTAAAAATTCTCAGATGGAGTGAAAAAGAGCCCAAGTCACATGCTCTCGCAAGTAAAATTAATGTTTCGCAAAAGTGGTCTCTCTAGTGTATCAAACGGCTCGTTTTAGCTAGTCGGCAAATCTTTTAATACTGCTGTGAATTCTAGAATCAAACTAATCTTTCGAAGCTAAAATTTGAACCAATTTTTGGCACCGCTTATGCATAGCTTAGCCTATGTAGTCAGCTTCAAAAAAATCAAAAGTCAGACCATCAAAACAAAATTTTTCCGGAAAAAAAAACGCAAAGCAACACGACCAAAATAAGTGTAAACTCATATCGTGTATTAAAACTTATGTGTAAATATTTACAACACCATTCCCAATCATCGACAGTTGAATCGACACAAGTCAACTTACGAGTCATTTTGCCAACGTTGGTTGCAACGCTTGTTGGTTGGGAGGACTCCCTCAAATGCTATCTGAAAATCATATCATAATCCATCGGGATAATTCTCAGGAACTCCTTGAATAACTTTAACTTTTTTCTGCAATCTACTGAACAAAGGAAAAAAATTAAATTTTTACAAACAGTCTAATATGTTAAGGTATATAATTTGAAACTATATACATATTGTACAGCTTTATTTTATAAAAACTATACAGGCCCCGTATATACAAACTTTCAAATTTTTTAAATACAAATTTACATAGCATCGACATTATTTGCATGTTGGCAGCACTTTTATTTGGCAACATGGGTACAGCCAGTCGCAATTCTACAACTATTCACCTTTTTTTGCGTGGTTGTTTCAATATCATATCTTACATACAGGTTACCTAGTTTCAACCCGTATCCCACTTAAAACTACATGGCACAAGAGTGTTTCTTTCATCGATCGCTGGTTGGGCTGACCAGTTCAGAGTGGTGTGTTGTCGAAGAAACTGCGGTAGTTGTACCTCTCCCACTTTTGTCTCATCTTCTCAGTGCGTCTTGTGCGTTGTCGCATCGACTTCACTTGCTCCTCCTCTTGTCGTTTCTTCTGCTTCAGCCACCTAACCAACAGGTCATCCTTGTTACGCAAAACAGAATTACGAACGATGCCTTTTACGAATTATTTCAGGGTAAAACCTGACAGTGAGTTTGATAACTAGCAGAAAAATACTTTGGGAAACTTGTATTTTGTGTACAACTCGCAGTGCAACTTAGCTAAACAAACTCAATGCTAAATTCACTCACTCAAATTCACAAAATAACAAGGATAGCCGGTTACTGTGCAAAAAAGCACAGAATTTTCTAACCATAATCTTTAAAAAACTACAAAAAAAATCGTTGTTCAAACTAGTGTTCTTTCTGCGTGGTGTGATAAAAGGATCTGGCGTAAAACTATAATTTAGGCATATTCGACAGTCACTGTAATATAGGCAAATTTGACAAAAATTTTGCAGAAAAATGACCAAAAGAACAAAAAATAAAAAAGTCAATATTGTTTTAGTAGAAAATTTATTGAATTTTTTGGTTCTCAAAATGGCACTAAAAGCTCCAGGAACTAACTTTACTTGCTCAAAACTAAGTTTTCAGGGCTTAAAATAAGCATAATAAGTCGGTTGTACGCCTGCTAGCTCGCTCGCTTTATTGGCTCAAAATTTTCTTATGTCATTCAAATCCAAATCACGACTGAAAGGGCTTTAATTTGGTATATCACTCGACCCATTCCAATGATTATTTGTGGTACCTAATTTTTCGTGGAAAGTAAAAAGACAAAAACTTAAACACTAATACATGGTTCCTCCACATTTCTCAAAACGTCAGAACAAAAAGAGTGATATGATCGAGGTCGTAGCTGGTCAAGTGAGGCATCCTATCAAATCTATTTCATTGTTGTTGCTAATTTTAACATTTTTTATAACAAGTTGCAGTGATTACTGTGGTCAGAGCAACTGGTCACCTTTGCTATTGCAAGAAGTTCTCATTGCTTGCTTTCCAAAGGCGAAACCGCAGTTTGCAAACAATATCTAAGATTATTTTGCTATGTCTTAAATTATTCTCTTCATAATTACTTCATCAAAATTGTGAACAATTTGCCATAAAATAAGTAATTTTGTAAGATTTTACCGCTCTATTGATGACATGGCATGACTGAAAATTCATGTCATGAATAAACACAGGGAAAAACGGTATCAAATCACTCAAAAGGCAAGGGAAAATTTAGAAATACGCCTTGAAAAAACTTCAAACAGTAACGAGACAGGAAATTCGAAAAGTTCTGACTGTACTTTGAAAAAAACTAATTACGTCAAATATCATAGTTTCAAGAATTTTTTTATGATTGAGCAACTTTTCACAAAACCAAACCAATAAGAGAAAACAGGGTTGACAGGTATTTTTTTACTACGCAGGGAAACCTAATAGTGAAAATAAAATCTTGAAACTAGAAGTTGTCACGTTTTACTGCGCGATTTGCACATTCGTAATTGTAGAGCGTTAATTGTCTTTTCTCAAAAAATGAATTTAAGTTTAAACTTAAAAGAAATCGAATGTCAAACTACGAAAGATCAAACACTTAAAAAGGACAAAACTAAAAAAAGGGCTAGACCAAAGAATATAAGAAAAAACAAACAAATCCGAAAAACAGGAGTATAAAAATAAACCAAGCAATTAAAACATGACTATCATTTTGGAAACTTTCCAACTTTTGATTTTTCGAAGAAAAAATATATTTCAACTTACAACTAGAGAAATATGATCTCTTTAACTTTTTTCCTCTTTTGCAAAAAGGGGGGGGGGAGAGATTCGTTATTAGGTTAAAAAAATCACGTATGCTTAACCATTGAATTCATTCTTTATAGGCGAAGCAATTCGTTACTAGGTACCCAAGGGGGATACTTAAAGGGATCCGAGACTTTTTAAGATTTTGCACTTTTTAGATTTTGCACTTCTTAGATTTTGCACTTTTGCTACTAGGAAGCGCAATTCGCTTTACTTTTAGCGAATAAATTTGAAGTGAACTTCAAAGACAGAGGCTAAGCTGAGCTTCGCACCACTTGCGCTACAACAAATACAGGGTTGAAACAGCATGAAGCTTACCATTTAGCAAAAATGACTTCCAACTATGTTACATTTGAAACATTTAATCTGGCAAAACGAAACCTTTTTAAGAGGTCCCATTGGTGTTGAATTTGCGCATTGGAAAATTTGGCGCCGGGTCTTATCAATTTGAAAAATAAGATCGGAAAATTGTAGAAAATAAGATATTCGGTAAATAAGCCGACGGAATAAAAGTCGGAAGTCAATAAGCTAAAACTCTACCGAACTATTTCGGCAAAATGAAAACTGATAAAAAAAGACTAAACCGAGAGCTTAATCGAGAACAAAAAAGCCGAGAAACCATCAGCCAAAAAAAAACGAAAATGTCGAAAAATATATTTAACTATACATGCACACAGATCTATCAAAATCTATTAAAATAGATTTGATAAAACATGCCTAGTCAGTAGAATGCAAAAATACTATCCGAAAAAATCTTAACAAGTAGTAACCAAGCCGAAAATTATGAGCAAAAAAACCCTTCCAACTGAAAAAAAAGTTAAAAATTTGAACCTAAAAAAAGTTCTACTCTCCCTAAAAGCACACACGCACACAAAAACTTTTTACTCCCCAAACGGCGCAATATGAGGTCCTTAAGGCGATATAAAAACCTCCGAAACCTTATGGGCCAAAAAAAGGACAAAAACCCCAAAGTTTTAGAAAAAAAATTGAAACTTAAAAAAAAAGTCAAGTTCCACTCTACCTTAAAACACACAACGCACAGAGAAGAATTTTTCTCATCAAGCGCCTCAATATGTGGCCACTATAGGGCTGCTTTTTGTCATTTCTCGCAAGTGTTTGCGAAGCAAGCTTCGCGTCTGTGTTTATACCGGCTTAGTGGCCACATATTGAGGCGCTTGATGAGAAAAATTCTTCGAGAAATGACAAAAAGCAGCCCTATAAAGTCCGAAGATAAAAATTAAAAATAATCCTCGAATTAGCAAAAATTAGTCTACATCCAAGATTCGAACCTGCGACCTAGAGATTAAGAGTCTCACACACTAAACACTACGCCACGGAAGCTTATTAGGTACCATGAGCCACTCAGTCACAAATAAAGCAGAACAGATGCTATGCAATTTCCAAGGCTACAGTGAAATTTTCAAATAAATGAACACTTCTAACGAACACTTTTATTTGCGAGTGTAAGCGGGCCCAAACCTATTACACCAAAAAAAAGCAAAAAATTTTTTACGCAGAGGCGAAGTTGCACTTCGCAAACACAAGCAAAAAAAATGACCGATAATGCTACTGGGAAACTGAATTAGTAAAACTTTGAGTCTTCAAAAGTGTCTAAGTGACGCACGCCAATTATGACGCATTAGCAGTACCAGTCAATTTGGAAAAAAATACCAACTAGCATGCCTCAGTTTATAGAGCAGTCTATCGAGCAGTAATAACATGAAAAAAGTAAATGTAATGAAAATAAAATATATATTTTTTAATTTGAGATTTTTTGTGAACCACACGCCATATTAAGTACAAAATGACACATTTCGTTCCTAGTAAGAAATCAATTAAGGCAAACAAGCTTCCTTCAACCAATTTGGAACAATTTCAATGACGGATTAAATCTCCGCTTAAGCGTTAATAGCGAGAAATATATCGCGCGTTAATTGTCTCAAATTAGCCAAAATGGCAATTTGTTAACTCCCATAACTTTACAAAAACGATCACAGGTGAAATATCTTAAATTTAAGCTCAGAACAACAAAACTTTTTGAATGATATAATAAAGTCCCGTTAAAAAATGGCTAGTTAAAAAGTCGAAATTTGTCTGAGGAAAAAACCACCCCGAGCACAAATATTCTGCTACTTTCGTTACTAAAGTCGGAACAATAATAGTATGTTTTGATATCCTTAGCATTGGCTGTACTTAATAGCAGGTTATTGATCAAAATGAACACTTTCAAAATGAACACATTTTATCGCAACAATAATTGCGTCGCAACAATATTTGTAATTTAGGCTGGAAAAAAAGATAGTTCATACTATAACACAAGCATTGCTTGTGTAAGCAAATCGAGTTGGAATTACAACGAGGACAGAGAGGTGAAGGAGTCGAGGAGTGGGTCCTGTGAACAAAGTTAGCAACTGGAAAAAATTCTGGAACCCATTTGCAATACCCTTGCTTATCACAAGGGTAAACAGCTAGTCAAACTGCGGGAAAAAAAATTGAGCGTAACAACTTTTAGTCTTTATCAAAAAATCGAAAAAAAATCTTACCCAACTAAGGATTTTCACTACATTTATTGACACTTAAAGAAAAACTCAGAATAAGAGGCATTTAAGTCGACTTAAAAATGTTGAAGCTTCGCTGCTGATGCAAAATTCGATTTTTTTAACCATCAAAAACGCTGCAGAAAACCACCGGGCGCATAAAAAAACAGGCCAAGTGAAAAAAAAAATCAAAACACTGTCGTGACGTTTAAAACTGTCATTTTACACATTGTTGTTGAATTACTTTTTGAATGCGATGTCCGAGTCCTCCTGGGTTCGTGTGAACTGTGCCATCTGCTCTTCCTGTCGCTTGTACTGCAGCATTAACTTGTCCCTTTCACTCTGTCGCTCCTTCTCCCGAACCCACTCATGAAAACTAGCCCGCGCACGCTCCTCCTTCACAATAAACTTTCATCACTACTCTAATTTATAAACAATTACTAATCAAAAAATACATATAAAAATTTGGATTAATGGCTGCGGTGATTTCAAAAGCAGGGTTTTTAAACTCACTGATTAAAAATTTATGGAGGAGGCGGGAAGGAACCAACTAAAGCTTTTATTTAAAAAAATTACTGTACCGGTGGAAAACGATCAATCTAGGAGACTGGAAAAGGCAAAAAACTATCATGACAATTCAGCGGAGGATTGAGGATTGCTTTTTTGCTGTAAAACAGTCGAGCTAAATCGACTGCTGAGTAAAATAAACGAGGCAATTACAAGGATCCTACAATAATTAAAACAAACTGATCTACAAATAAGCACTCAAGTGTTCAGTTTACGCAACCATCCCAATCGATACCGGTCTATTGGACCAACCGAAGAGACTGGAGAAAGCAAACTGCAATCACGTCAACTCAGGAGAGGAGTGAATTTTAGTTTCTGATGCTGTAAATCAGTCGAGTCAATTCAACTGTAGCTTACAAGGAACGTGGTAATGACACGGATCCTATATCAATTATAACAAAAATAAATTACAAATGAGCATTTCAACTGTTCAGTTTACGCCACCATCCCAATCGATACCGGTCCATTGGACCAACCGAAGAGACTGGAGAAAGCAAACTGCAATCACGTCAACTCAGGAGAGGAGTGAACTTTAGTTTCTGATGCTGTAAATCAGTCGAGTCAATTCAACTGTAGCTTACAAGGAACGTGGTAATGACACGGATCCTACATCAATTATAACAAATATAAATTACAAATGAGCATTTCAACTGTTCAGTTTAGGCCACCATCCCAATCGATACCGGTCCATTGGACCAACCGAAGAGACTGGAGAAAACAAACTGCAATCACGTCAACTCAGGAGAGGAGTGAACTTTAGTTTCTGATGCTGTAAATCAGTCGAGTCAATTCAACTGTAGCTTACAAGGAACGTGGTAATGACACGGATCCTACATCAATTATAACAAAAATAAATTACAAATGAGCATTTCAACTGTTCAATTTACGCCACCATCCCAATCGATACCGGTCCATTGGACCAACCGAAGAGACTGGAGAAAGCAAACTGCAATCACGTCAACTCAGGAGAGGAGTGAATTTTAGTTTCTGATGCTGTAAATCAGTCGAGTCAATTCAACTGTAGCTTACAAGGAACGTGGTAATGACACAGATCCTACATCAATTATAACAAAAATAATTTACAAATGAGCATTTCAACTGTTCAGTTTACGCCACCATCCCAATCGATACCGGTCCATTGGACCAACCGAAGAGACTGGAGAAAGCAAACTGCAATCACGTCAACTCAGGAGAGGAGTGAATTTTAGTTTCTGATGCTGTAAATCAGTCGAGTCAATTCAACTGTAGCTTACAAGGAACGTGGTAATGACACGGATCCTACATCAATTATAACAAAAATAAATTACAAATGAGCATTTCAACTGTTCAGTTTACGCCACCATCCCAATCGATACCGGTCCATTGGACCAACCGAAGAGACTGGAGAAAGCAAACTGCAATCACGTCAACTCAGGAGAGGAGTGAACTTTAGTTTCTGATGGTGTAAATCAGTCGAGTCAATTCAACTGTAGCTTACAAGGAACGTGGTAATGACACGGATCCTACATCAATTATAACAAAAATAAATTACAAATGAGCATTTCAACTGTTCAGTTTACGCCACCATCCCAATCGATACCGGTCCATTGGACCAACCGAAGAGACTGGAGAAAGCAAACTGCAATCACGTCAACTCAGGAGAGGAGTGAATTTTAGTTTCTGATGCTGTAAATCAGTCGAGTCAATTCAACTGTAGCTTACAAGGAACGTGGTAATGACACGGATCCTACATCAATTATAACAAAAATAATTTACAAATGAGCATTTCAACTGTTCAGTTTACGCCACCATCCCAATCGATACCGGTTTATTGGACCAACCGAAGAGACTGGAGAAAGCAAACTGCAATCACTTCCACTCAGGAGAGGAGTGAATTTTAGTTTCTGATGCTGTAAATCAGTCGAGTCAATTCAACTTAGTTTACAAGGAACGTGGTAATGACACGGATCCTACATCAATTATAACAAAAACAAATTACAAATGAGCATATCAACTGTTCAGTTTACGCCACCATCCCAATCGATACCGGTCCATTGGACCAACCGAAGAGACTGGAGAAAGCAAACTGCAATCACGTCAACTCAGGAGAGGAGTGAATTTTAGTTTCTGATGCTGTAAATCAGTCGAGTCGATTCAACTGTAGCTTACAAAGAACGTGGCAATGACACGGATCCTACATCAATTATAACAAAAATAAATTACAAATGAGCATTTCAACTGTTCAGTTTACGCCACCATCCCAATCGATACCGGTCCATTGGACCAACCGAAGAGACTGGAGAAAGCAAACTGCAATCACGTCAACTCAGGAGAGGAGTGAATTTTAGTTTCTGATGCTGTAAATCAGTCGAGTCAATTCAACTGTAGCTTACAAGGAACGTGGTAATGACACAGATCCTACATCAATTATAACAAAAATAATTTACAAATGAGCATTTCAACTGTTCAGTTTACGCCACCATCCCAATCGATACCGGTCCATTGGACCAACCGAAGAGACTGGAGAAAGCAAACTGCAATCACGTCAACTCAGGAGAGGAGTGAATTTTAGTTTCTGATGCTGTAAATCAGTCGAGTCAATTCAACTGTAGCTTACAAGGAACGTGGTAATGACACGGATCCTACATCAATTATAACAAAAATAAATTACAAATGAGCATTTCAACTGTTCAGTTTACGCCACCATCCCAATCGATACCGGTCCATTGGACCAACCGAAGAGACTGGAGAAAGCAAACTGCAATCACGTCAACTCAGGAGAGGAGTGAACTTTAGTTTCTGATGGTGTAAATCAGTCGAGTCAATTCAACTGTAGCTTACAAGGAACGTGGTAATGACACGGATCCTACATCAATTATAACAAAAATAAATTACAAATGAGCATTTCAACTGTTCAGTTTACGCCACCATCCCAATCGATACCGGTCCATTGGACCAACCGAAGAGACTGGAGAAAGCAAACTGCAATCACGTCAACTCAGGAGAGGAGTGAATTTTAGTTTCTGATGCTGTAAATCAGTCGAGTCAATTCAACTGTAGCTTACAAGGAACGTGGTAATGACACGGATCCTACATCAATTATAACAAAAATAATTTACAAATGAGCATTTCAACTGTTCAGTTTACGCCACCATCCCAATCGATACCGGTTTATTGGACCAACCGAAGAGACTGGAGAAAGCAAACTGCAATCACGTCCACTCAGGAGAGGAGTGAATTTTAGTTTCTGATGCTGTAAATCAGTCGAGTCAATTCAACTTAGTTTACAAGGAACGTGGTAATGACACGGATCCTACATCAATTATAACAAAAACAAATTACAAATGAGCATATCAACTGTTCAGTTTACGCCACCATCCCAATCGATACCGGTCCATTGGACCAACCGAAGAGACTGCAGAAAGCAAACTGCAATCACGTCAACTCAGGAGAGGAGTGAATTTTAGTTTCTGATGCTGTAAATCAGTCGAGTCAATTCAACTGTAGCTTACAAGGAACGTGGTAATGACACGGATCCTACATCAATTATAACAAAAACAATTTACAAATGAGCATTTCAACTGTTCAGTTTACGCCACCATCCCAATCGATACCGGTCCATTGGACCAACCGAAGAGACTGGAAAAAGCAAACTGCAATCACGTCAACTCAGGAGAGGAGTGAATTTTAGTTTCTGATGCTGTAAATCAGTCGAGTCAATTCAACTGTAGCTTACAAGGAACGTGGTAATGACACGGATCCTACATCAATTATAACAAAAATAATTTACAAATGAGCATTTCAACTGTTCAGTTTACGCCACCATCCCAATCGATACCGGTCCATTGGACTAACCGAAGAGACTGGAGAAAGCAAACTGCAATCACGTCAACTCAGGAGAGGAGTGAATTTTAGTTTCTGATGCTGTAAATCAGTCGAGTCAATTCAACTGTAGCTTACAAGGAACGTGGTAATGACATGGATCCTACGTCAATTATAACAAAAACAATTTACAAATGAGCATTTCAACTGTTCAGTTTACGTGACCATCCCAATCGATACCGGTCCATTGGACCAACCGAAGAGACTGGAGAAAGCAAACTGCAATCACGTCAACTCAGGAGAGGAGTGAATTTTAGTTTCTGATGCTGTAAATCAGTCGAATCAATTCAACTGTAGTTACAAGGAACGTGGTAATGACACGGATCCTACATCAATTATAACAAAAATAAATTGCGAATGAGCATTTCAACTGTTCAGTTTTACGCCACCATCCCAATCGATACCGGTCCATTGGACCAACCGAAGAGACTGGAGAAAGCAAACTGCAATCACGTCAACTCAGGAGAGGAGTGAATTTTAGTTTCTGATGCTGTAAATCAGTCGAGTCAATTCAACTGTAGCTTACAAGGAACGTGGTAATGACACGGATCCTACATCAATATAACAAAAACAATTTACAAATGAGCATTTCAACTGTTCAGTTTACGCCACCATCCCAATTGATACCGGTCCATTGGACCAACCGAAGAGACTGGAGAAAGCAAACTGCAATCACGTCAACTCAGGAGAGGAGTGAATTTTAGTTTCTGATGCTGTAAATCAGTCGAGTCAATTCAACTGTAGCTTACAAGGAACGTGGTAATGACACGGATCCTACATCAATTATAACTGAAATAATTTACAAATGAGCATTTCAACTGTTCAGTTTACGCCACCATCCCAATCGATACCGGTCCATTGGACCAACCGAAGAGACTGGAGAAAGCAAACTGCAATCACGTCAACTCAGGAGAGGAGTGAATTTTAGTTTCTGATGCTGTAAATCAGTCGAGTCAATTCAACTTAGT